GAACTGTTTCCTATGACTTTAATAGTTTTCTATTCAGTCACGTGACAATGGCTTGTAAAAGCACACTCCTAGACCTGTTAAAAGAGTGTGGTGGAAAATTGGCTGCTAAGATGATACGTGCATATAAATGAACTCCTTTGTTGTGGCTTTCACAGAAATTTCCGGCTTAGGCATGGCAATGTATGGTAAATATCCCATTTGTTCAAAATAGACTGTCAAGCTGCAGAGACTACTGGCACTGAACAAAGCGATCATACTGACCTGTTGGCTAGGCTGGTGGTGAAGACATACACTACTTGCTGAGGGGGGCGAGGATGCAGATCTGTGCGAATACCAGGTCCACCTAGTGCTGGACCTCCTGGATCACTAACATGGCCTGTGGCAGATGAACCAGAGTGGCCCTGACTAGGACACATCACATGCTCACCTGTGAGAAGAATTTTTTTTTTTTTAATTTGTAATGTGTGATAAAATATTTGTAATGGCAAAAAACGAATCGTGTTACATACAGTATTTATAAGTTTTACATAGGTCACTTGATGCCATATGTTTTTTTTTTTGACAAAATAACATTTCACATTACAAACACTGGAAGCAGTGATTCACTTGTAAACATGTATGCCCAACCACCATTTTAAGAAAAGGTAAAAAGCAATAATATTTTTTTTTTATTTATCAAATACATATGAAATATTTTTTATTATTATTTAAATATTACTCATAAATATTAAAAACTGTCATAATATTATAATTATAATTAAATATCAATCCAATAACCTAAATGTTTGTTTACTACCATAAAATCTTCCAGAAAACCACAAGGAGGAGCTAAATCCCCCAGAAAACTTCCCAGACCTTCAGTTCCATTATGAACGTCTGATGGCTTAACATTTACGTCATGAATTTATGTGGGCAGATATGAAACACTGAAGATTTGTACAAAATGAAAAACAAACAGGCCATTTTCTGTCTCATGAATGTCACACAAAATGAATTTTTGAAACTTTGATTCATCTTAATCCCTTTAAAATTTTGATATGACTCAGGCAAAGTCAAGGTTACAGAGCGGGACATTTTCCTTAAAGGGCAATACAGAGTTTGTTAGGGGTGTTGTGTTGCGCTTGTGCAGGTAATGTTACACGACACACCTTCAGTCACGTGTCTATACACAGATAAGGAAGGCTGAGCTTACTTCACAAGAGGGGACAATAGCTTTTAAAGCTCAATGTCATACCTCTAATACTATTAAATGGCAAGTTCACAGTCAAATGCCAACAATACATTTTAAATTTATAATATTTCAAGTGCTTTTTCATATACAAATGTCACTATAAGTTGTAGTTAATGCCTTAGGAACCATACTAAACCCATTCCAGTTTAGTAATAGTGAACTCACTGGTATAGAAAAATATCATAAAAACGAAATTTACAATACAGCTGATTGTTTCCCCAAGTTTTCTTCTGTTTTATCAATAACTTTATGCCAATTGTCAGTCATGAGCAGTTGTTTTAAAGTGATATTTCACCCATGAAATTATTTCATCATTTACTCCTGATAGTTCTCCAAACCCCCACACAAGGAGGTTTAGGCATTACATTTACAGTCTCAGTTACCATTCATTTTTATTGCATCCCTTTTTAAACTGTACAGTGAAGGTTTGAATTGTGACAAAGGTTGACAATCAGATAAACTTCTCCTCTTGTGTTCCACAAAATAAAGTCATACAGGGTTTGGGTAGACATGAGTGTCCTTAAATGAAGACAAAACCTTCTTTTTGGTCGGACTATCCCTTTAAGACACTTATTTCTGTTTTTCTTTTTCTTTTCTATTTTGGCCTATGCAAACAAGTCTTCATACAGTATGCCTCCTTTGTGCTGAGAAGCTGTTTGGGTGAATCTCATGTGACCTGTCAGGAACATGCCCTAGTCATATTATCACCCCAAAATCAAAAGAAAGAAACACAAATATACATACATACATATATACAGATATATATTTTTATGACAATTGATCACATTCGCACCACCTTCATTCTCTTTATTGTAATGCAGTGGTAGGTTCATACACTTTGAGACATTCAAATCTACCACGCTGATGATACATACGAGAACCAATGAAATTTAAGTGCTGTCAGCATAGATAAACTCAGCAAGTGTTGAATCCCACATCTTTAATATGATGCATTATGCACTGTTGCATTTTATACATATACCTTTATTTCTTTCAGAATGTCATTTTTTTTAGCGCCATAAAAACGGATGTTTATATGGAATGATATGGAAGTAGCAGTGCAGTTCATAACTGTTAGTAGGGCTGTTTTTTTCTCAATCTGTTTTTTGTTTGCTGTGCAAACAAGCCTTCACATGCTTCTTTCTCAGATTCTCTCTGGTACAGAATAGCAGGTAGCACAGGGCGTGCATACACTCCAGGATTGTGGTCAGCAACTGACAGATGCACAACCAAACGCAGACAGACAGACACACACACACACACACACACACACACACACACACACACACACACACACACACACACACACAAGTGTGAAGTGTTGCAGTGGAAGACGAATGACTGTTTTAACATCTGATGGTTGGCCAAGATCTAAATGGTGTGCATTTATAAAAGTAGTTTTGTTGGCTTGTCTATCTATCAACATTCAAACTTTAAGCTAATAAAACAAATTTTCTGGTCACGCTTTCCCAAGACAACAAAGTTTGTCTTGATGAACTTTTTATGTAGTCGTGTATTTATTCTTTGTTTGTGTGTGTATGATATAATTGTATTTATCAGATTATTGATATTTCAATATTCTTACTTTTCTTTTTTGTTCTTTTCTTAATATACCTTTATTCATTTCCGGGGTTCTCAGAAGTGGAAGTCATCATGGTTGAGTAAACTGTTACAGTGGTGAACAGAAACTACAACAAATAGGGTAAGATGGGGGAAGAAGCCCCCTGGGACAAGATAACCCCACTCACCTTTAATTGTCCTCTTGACCACAGATAGCGACAAAACTCACTTCAGCATATTTATAAATTGCTTGCGCACTAATTCATTTTGACATTTCATGAGAGAAATGGTATTTGTGAGAGTAATTTCATTAGAACAATTTTGAGGTAAATTGGTCTAATTTTCTGATATTTCAAAAAGTTTATATGTGAATTTGTTCACTGTGCACTAGAAAAACTTATTTAGATCTGAAGAAAGAAACATATATTTTCTGAAGTGTAAAGATAAAGATGGCCCCCCCAAAACGGGACCCCAGGGACATCTTGACACAAAATAATAGGTCGCTTGAAAATGTTAAACAAAGTGTTAAAGAGTGAGTGAGAGGGAATTGGAGGCATTAGATTAGAGTATGTGTGTGTACAAATTGGGGATGCAATATATATAATAAAGAAAATACAAATTTTAGGTTATAGTATTTATAATTAATTACATTGTCAAGATGCACAATTTTACCAATTCAGTTAAATTGTCCAAAAATACAATTATTAGGATTAATTTGGTCTTTACATAATATGTTCTGTAAAGATCAGATGACAGCTGGGCCAAGATGTCTCCGGGTTTAGGGGGTCATTTTGCCCCAATGGGGGGGCAAGATGGTCCCCTTTCATAATTTTACTTTTTGTGCCATTACAACTAAATTGTTCATTGTTTCCATTTGATTCCCATTCCTAATGTGCTGCTTAATAATAGTTAGTAAGGTAAGTGCTAAGGTTGGATTAAGGGATCTAAAATATGGTCATGCAGAATAAGGCAATATATGGCAATATATTAATATGTGCTTTAAAAGTACAATATAAACAGCCAATATACCCTAGTAATATGCATGCATGTTAATAGTGAGAATTGGTCCTTAAAATAAAGTGTTACCAAAAAATTGATTGATTTTGTTGGTCAGAAGAGAGAAAGATGTCCAATTTGCCATCACTCCATCAGCTGTTGTATTAAAAAACACCCATTACAGTTTTTTGTATGTAATGCCAGTATATATATATATAATATATAATATATAATAATAACTGTAGTAATCTGTAAAAAGGTAAAGTACACTAAATTGTTTTCATTATTGTAATTCAGTTCAATCTTGTTTTTTTTTTTTTCAAATTCTGATATATAGCTGAATTACAACATTTAGGTTTTTTTTTTTTTTTTTACACTGGATCAACAGCACTGTGTGTTTTTACAACGACGACGTCAACCAGACGTTTGTGTAAACAGTCTACAGGAAGAAACATTCATTAAGGTTTATAAGACAGTATTTATGTACAGGTTCAGACTGGCAGGCTGTACTTTATGTGTGTGTGTGTGTGTGTGCGTGTGTGTTTGAACTCACGGTGAGTGGCAGAAAGGGGTTTCTCATCCTCTTCCTCAGTTTCGGCCCCTGAGCACCATTCATCACCACTGTACGGCTGCTTTCTCTCCAGCACACACCGGCGTTTGCTGCGCATCACTCCCTCTACTGGACACCATTAGGAAAAACACAAAGACACAGCGATGTAAACATATTTAGAATCAATTACACATATTTATATAAGACAGTATGGTTTCTATCCACACTGATATAAGCCAATGCCCACAATCTGTCTCAAAAAGCAAATTTAAAACGGATAGCATTCTCACAAACTCCAGACACAGAGTACTCCAGAAATGTTTTGGCATTTAAGCGGAATGAGAGGACACACAAGGCCTCCAAAGCCTTGAAACATCCCCTAACCTTGAATACCAGACACAGTGAGGGAGAAAACAAGGGAGAGAGAGAGTGAAAATGAGAGGGAGAGAGAGAGAGCGAGCACAGCGTTAGGTTGTGGTGTCCTGTTGGCGGCGGGCAGAGATAAAGCTGACCTTTTCTGCATCCTCTTTTGTTCCCAGCAGACATCAGTTTACATAAATGAGTGAGTCATCTCTCTCTCTGGTCTACTTTCGCTTTAATCATTGGCCCTTTCCAGGTGTGGCAGTCGAGTGGTCTGAAGTGGATGGGTGACTTGCATTTCATTTGAATGCCTTTCTGTTTGCTTTTCTATCGGGTGAACAATATAAGCAGAGAAAGAGAAAGAGAAAGACAAGAGAAAAGGAAAGGTTCCCTGATAAAGAGCTGGATAGAGACAACGTTCTCACTTCCCCATTTCTGATCATCTCCACCATTATTTTTAACCAAAACTAAAAGTAGAATCAAGCATTCCTCCAAAAACCAAAAACTTTGATGACTTGACAGTCCATCATTGCTATTATGATTTAAAAAAATAAATAAAATATAATAATAATAATATATAAATAAAAAAATAAATATATATAAATAATATATAATAATAATAATTAAATTAAATAATGAAAATAATATGTATTTATGCAATAAAAATTACAATTTTGTTTTTGTATTTTGTTATAATAATTTTTACATTTTAAAAATATTCAAAAATAAAATAAAAATAAAACTAACAAAGTTCATCATTATTATTGTGGGGGGGAAAAAAAATTTTTTTTTTAAGTATTTTTCCTTTGAATTAACATGATAAAATATTTTAGTGTACTCCGATAAATAGTAATACTAGAGCTGTCAAACGATTAATCGCATCCAAAATAAAAGTTTTTGTTTACATTATATGTGTGTGTATATGGTGTATATTTATTAAGTATATATAAATACAAACGCACGCATGCATATATTTAAGAAAAATGTTATGTTTATATATTACATATATTTATATATAATATAAGAATATAAATGCACATACATGTAAATATTTTCAAAATATATACAGTATGTGTGTGTATTTATATATACATAATAAATATACACAGTACACACACATATATTATATAAACACAAACTTTTATTTTGGATGCGATTAATCGCGATTAATCGTTTGACAGCACTAATTTAAACTATTTTTTAATTCAGAAAAAAATGACCTTTTCAAAGGGAAAATAAGTTTATTTTTCTGACCCCGTTAGCAGATATTTGTTCTTGTTTTAAGCATAAACTCATTTCATTTAGATACATTTCTCAGAAAACAAGACTTCATCTCTTTATTTTGCATCTCAGGTAAATGTATCTTGCCTTAAGGAAGCTAGATATTTGTACTATAAAATACTGAGATATTAATTTTTTGCAATGCATGCAACATTAACTTCATGACTTTACGAATTTACGAGTTTCTGCTTTGATTCAAGACATTTTTAAGGAAAGGTGAATTAAGACTTACATTACTATTATGATTTAAAAAAAAGTGTACTCCAATAAAGAATAATATTTAAAATTAAAAAATATTTAAAACATCTTAAAACGAATAAAGTTACGTTAATATAATTTTTTCTAATAATTTATAAAAAAGATCAATTCTATTTTCAACAATAATAACCCCACCTTCTAACTTCCAGACAGGTGTGAGTGTTTGTGTGAAAGAGTGAGAGTGTGTATGCACACACAAAAGAGCTTCAGTGCTATTAAAGGAAGCCCAGATTACTCAGTTTCTCAAAATCACTCTATTGCCCCGTTATTTCCCCTGATCTCTCTCTCTAATACACACATGGCATACACAAAGCACCAGGCAAATGGAAATAAAATAAGAACTGCACAATGAACCAAACAAAAAGAAATGGCACACACACAGTGAAAAGAAAAACACGCCTCCGCAATCCAAGAAGAGAAGACCTGTTATTGCCTTTTATATTGGACAGAAGCAGTTTGGCTGAATCTCACGAGTCCTGTCAGCAACACGCTCTGGTCATATTTCAACCCAAATCAAAAGAAAGAATAAGAAGGTACATTTTGCATAGATAATATGCATTTTTATGACAATTAAGCACATTCTCACCATGTACACTTGTCATTATTGTAATTTAGTCGTGCAAGTCTCATTCACTTGCACACATTCAAATCTACCGCGCTGTCAGTGACGGTCACAATTCCAAGGAGCATGAGTTGATTCTTGCATCTTTGATATGATACGTTATGCACTGCTGCATTTAATATCTAACTTTCTCCTTCCAGAATGTTCATTTTCTGTGGCATAAAACCTGGTTAACAATAACATGGACTGACACTGAACAGCATCTTATCTGTAGTGGCATTCATAACTGTTACTAGGGCAACCAGAACTAGAAATGCAGACTAGCATCAGATCTGTATAGCAACTGCTGACATACAGCAAAAAATGTCATTGGTGGTGTGAACAGCTCTTCAGTGATGACACAATTTTAATTTTGGTGAAGGATTCCTTCCATGATGCTCCTGGCAAACCTTTTTAATTTATCTAATTTATTACATTTAATTATTTCGGAACATCGTAAGAACCATTTAAATTTTTTAACCATTTAAATAATTATATTTTATGCATTCATTTTATGCATTTTTATTTTTGCAACAATGAAATAGAATAACATAGACCTACTGATAAAAAGTTTGTTCACTTACATTATTTTCAAATTTATATTAACAAAAAAGTGAATAATTTGTTTTTACTTTTAATAGGATACATGGAAAAAGAAGAAGAAAATATGTGTGTGTGTGTGTGTGTGTGTGTGTGTAACATAGTAGTAGGCCTATGTTTTGTAATGCCTTTTTAGCACTCTATAGCAAAAATTAATTTATGAAAATTAATGAAAATGCAATGATCACTATTAATAATAATGGGAAAAAAGTAAAACATCCACACCAATTACAATAATGAGAATTTGGGGGAAAACTGTACTTAATGGTCTTGAAAATAATAATTTTAAAAAATCTCAGTGGTCTTAAAGTTCTTCCTGCAAAATATAATAATTATATAGTTATTTTTTGACTTTGGTGTTGGTGTGAAACATGACACGGACTTGTTTTCGTCAGAATCACTAAACCACATAAGGGAACATTGTGTGTGTGTGTGTGTGTGTGTGTGTGTGTGTGTGTGTGTGCGTGTGTGTGTGTGTGCAGTATGGGACCTGTTGACATTCAGGAACTTGTTGCATAGAGTCTCCCTCCCCCTCAGTCTCTCCACCCCGCTCTATTCTACTTCCTGTCTGAGTGCGGAGTCTCTCTCAACCCCCGCTTAATTAGTGAGTGACACACACAACAGGACAACCAACAGGAAAACACAAGCACTTGCACATTTGGCGCTGTTCCAGGAGCATAACATCTGATACACACATATAAGCATGCACACACACACACACACACGCTCAGAAAGGTCAGGGCATTTTGGGGTTGCTGAAAACAGCCAGTTTCATCTTCACTGTGTTTCCAGTTGAAAGGGGAATTCCAGAAGTGTGGCCTTTTTTAGATTGTTGATCGAGAGATACAGTGATACATGAGTAAAGTGAGTTTGGTTGTGCACTACATATTGAGTATCACATGTGTATGTATGAATGGGTGTGTGTGTGTGTGTGTGTGTGTGTGTGTGTGTGTGTGTGTGTGTGCGTGCGTGCGTGCGTTATGCAAGTCTCCCATAGGCTGAGTTTTAATTATTGGCATAAAGTCTGGTCCACGTTACTGCATATTCTGGCCACTCAGAAAGGAAAAGACCATCTAAACAAGCGATTTTTCATTCCAAGCAAGAGCATGAAGCATGACCCCCTTTCTAAAATAGGAACTCGTTTAAAATAATAAGCATAATATTATAATTAAATTATTAAAGCCAAAACTAATTATTAAAATATTATTTCGATAATATTGACTGTCAATATCAAAATCAATATCAGAGTCTCACAAACTAATATCCAGTGGTGGAAAGAGTACTGAAAAAATATACTCAAGTAAAAGTACCATTACCTTCCAAAAAATGTAGTGCGAGTAGAGTAAAAGTACTTGTCCAAAAAACTACTTGAGTAAGAGTAAAAGAGTAGCCTATTTAAAAGTACTCATGAGTATTGAGTAGTGAGTACTGAGCTGTGGATTCTACCTCCTCATAATAAACGCTGTACACCGCAATTGATACCTATTAAAAACATTGTACATCCTGTAATTCACATTATCTTGTTTGTCATAAAGAAGCCAACTCTTTAAAATACATCAAAACAGCACGGAAACAGTATTCAGTTGAAGAAAAGATGAAAGTTATTCTCAGTACAATCATCCCCATTTAAATCATAAAATTTGAAAAAAAAAAAAAAAAGATTTAAAATCATGTGTCAGGCCACTGAGACAGCATGCTGTTGTTGCACATAAAATATTAATGTTTAGAACAGTGCAAATACAAACACCATTAGAAACTCATAGTTCAGCATCACACACCATGATATGGGTTCAAATGAGAGCCCATTTCTCTCCAAAACGGTGCCAGTTTGAGCGTTTTGCAATAAAGAAATAAAAATAACTAAACTTGATAATTTATGTTACAATTTTAACATAAATGCACATTGTTCTAGAAGGATGGCAAATTGTTATGCTGATAATTCAATTTGTAAGGAAAAATGCATTAAATAGAGAGTTATTTCTGGGGAAACTTTTTCAAAGGAAAACACACACACACACACACACACAC